TTGTGTCAGGAGGCAGCTTGATGTTCCTGTTCTTCAGGGATGGGGGAGTTTTTTTGTTTAGAAGTAGAGGGAGAAGGTTTTCCTTGGGCTCAGCAGCATGGAAGAGTCGTGGAGGATCTCCCTGCCTTTCCCAGCCATCCTGCCAGAACTTTGTGGGAATTAAATTGATGTTTTAATGCAGAGGGCATAAGAAATTAAAGGATCAAAGCTCTCCGGTTGTCGGGGTCTGCAGCTGCTCCTGAGGGACAGCACAGGGACAGCTCCAGTCTCTGCTCCCTGTGACAGTGCCAGGACCCAAGGGAAGGGCTGGAGCTGTCCCAGGAGAGGTTTGGGATGGATATCAGGAAAGGTTCTTCCCCAGGCTCCCCAGGGAATGGGCACGGCCCCGAGGCTGCCAGAGCTCCAGGAGAGTTTGGACAACACTCCCAGGGATGCCCAGGGTGGGATTGCTGGGGTGTGTGTGCAGGGCCAGGAGCTGGATCAATGATCCTTGTGTGTCCCAGCTCAGGATATTCCATGATTCCTGGCTTTTGCAGGAATCTGTTGCTCCTACCGCACAGGAGCAAAAATTCAAAATTCAAAATTTGTCATCACAAAAATTCAACCCATTGGCCCAGGGGACAGGAATGGGACCAGGAACAAGCAAAGACTGCTGCCCATATTTATGGGCACAAGCACATCCAGGGTCACCAAAATGGTCTGAAAACATCCCCAGGTCAGGAAGGAAGAATCCATTTGGATTTTGAAGCAGGGAGGAAGCATCCATTGGGACTCTGAAGCGAGTCACCTGCAAGCAGGGACATTCAGGATTTGCAGCTGTGCTGCAAATGAAGCTTGGCAGGGCAGGGAAGGAAAGGTTTCCTCTGCTGTCCCTGTGCTGGAGTTTCCTGGAGATTTACAGCCCTCAGCTGGTGACTCGGAGCACAGCCCCGCTGTTATCCGTGTTCCCATCTCAGCGTGGGTGAGTGCCCTCTCTCCTGGCTAAGCCAGCATCTGCTCCCATCCACGTCACCCACAGCAGCCAAAAATCCTCCCCTGAGCATCCCAAATCCCCTCCCAGATCCTGGCATCTCCCAGCTCAGCCCTCACCCCTTGCCCAGCCAAACATGACATATTTAGCTCCAGTTTTTTTGGGTTTTTTTTAATCTCCCTCCTTATAAATCAAATTTTCCAGCCCCTGCCTCTGCTGTTGTCTTTTCTCTTGGCAGTGATCAGTTGCTAAATGCCTGACAAATGGACAAATGGCCCTCAGGCAGCCACCCTGGCCAGGGCCACACTGCCCATGAGAAAAGAGACACTGTTCCTCCTTCTCCAGGCATAATTCTCCCTTTTTTATCTCTTTCTTTCTTTCTTTCTTTCTTTCTTTCTTTCTTTCACAAAAGGATTTTGGAGGGGGTTTTGCTTTGGATCAGGGTGTAGCTGCTATCAGAGCCCTTTGTTAGGAGAAGTTTCACACCAGTTTCTCACCCCTTGTGGTTTGTCCAGTGGAAGGCTGTCAAGTCTTCTTTCATGCCAGGGTTGGGATTAAATGTGTGAGATTATATTTCTTGTTGGCATTCAGATATTGTTAGTTCTTATCTATGTCACACTCTCACAAACCCTGAGTTCTGCAGCACTTCACTCTAAAAAACTAAAAATGAAGCCCCATCTCTCTCTCTCCAAGGTCATTTAAGAATAAACTGTCCAATTAAGAAATGACACCTAAATTATTTTTACTTTTAACCCAATAACCGACCACCCGTGCCTGCAATGGGGACTTTTTTATCCAATTACACAAAACCGCTGAAATTCATGGAGAAGAAGGTGAAGAAGGTGAAGAAGAAAGACCAGCCTCCACCCTAAAACCCCCACCTTGTTTTATATGTATCACTATATTCTAAAACATTAAACTCTTAAGTTTTCCACCATGTGATATTACACACTTCTATGCAAACTCCACACCCACAATCCCAGCTCTGTCATTCCATTTTGGAAGCCTTCTCCACGGCCTCAGGTCAGTGCAGTGTTCTCCTGAGGGTCAGTGCCTGGCAGCACAGAAAGTCTGAAATTCTCAGCAGCCAGGATCCCAACAGAAGGTGTCCCTGCCCATGGCAGGGGGTGGACCAAGATGAGCCTTAAGGTCCCTCCCATCCCAAAACATTCCATGATTCTCTGAGAAACATCCCTGAAACTCAGAGAAATCCTCCATACCCACCACGTGATGGCTGGATCTCACACAGGACCTGATTAATCAGTTATTTCTCCAAAGGCACTCCCGAATTCCCTGGGGGATGGGAGGCTCCTGAGCCAGCCAGACACCAAGCCCTGGGCACTGCCTGTCCCGGGGGGGCTGCAGGGTGGCCAAAACCTCACACACGTGGGCTCTGAGAGCTGGGAGATCATCCAGCTTCTTCCATCCACCTTCCACAGCTCCTGCCAGCCCTGCAGGGATATCTCAGGCACTCCAGGGCACTCCAGGAATGGAAACAGAACCCATTGATAAAGGATCTTATCTGTGCTCACCCCTCTGGGCTCCCACTGCTCTTCCCTCACATCCTCGTGTGTCACTTTGCAGGTATTTCCTGGGAATAGTCCAATTCTTACTGTTTCTAGAGAATATTTTAATGCCACGAGATGGCAGCACAAAATCACCTTTCCCGGGTGTGCTCAGCTTGCAGAGGCTGCTCCAGACCCTGCACCACGGAGAACTCCGTGCTCTCACCTCAGGGATCACTCCAGGAGGAGAAAATATCCAGCCCTTACCAAGTGCAGAGCCAGAACCCAGCTTTTCCATCCCTTTTACCACCTACAGTTCCAGCATCCACTCATTTCCAACACTGCTGTTCCACTGAGTTTGTCTCAGGATCTCCCAGCAGCTCCCAGTCCCCTTTTCTGCTCTGGGTCTGTGTTTGCAAATAAATCAGCACCAGGGGAATTCCCTGGGCACTAAGCCCCATCCTTTATTTTGTTATCAGAATCCCCTGGAACAGCCTGGCTGGTGCCCACTTGCACAATTCAGAGCCCAGTATGGATCCTGGGACACTCCTGTCAGAGCTCTATTTTATTATCAGAATCCCCTGGAACAACCTGGCTGGTACCCACTTGCACAGTTCAGAGCCCAGTATGGATCCTGGGACACTCCTGTCAGAGGGAAAGGGCTAAACCCTGCAAATATCCACAGCCCTGTGCCAGAAAATCCTGCTCTGGAGGCCTTAAATGTGCTGGTCCCCTCTGTGCATGGACAACCACAGGTCACTTCATGCCACCAACCAGGCTGGATGAGAGCTTACAGCTCTTTTCCAACCTTAATTCCGTGATTCTGGCATTGGCCACACGGTGACACTAAAGGGGGTCTCTGCTCACCACGGATTTGGGCAAGGAGGGGTGTGAAGAGAGAAGCCAGGACCTGCCCCTGGTGCAATCGGGGCTCTGAGCATCCACTTCAGCTTTTGTAGAAAAACCTCTTTTTTAAAGCGTTTCTTGCCAGGGAGTTAAAGGAGCAGAACCACAGAATTGTTTAGGCTGGGAAATTCTGAGACCATCGAGTTCAACCATTCCCCCCAGCACTGCCAACACCACACCTGCCACATCCACATGGCTTTTAAATCCCCCCATGCACAGGGACACCACCACTGCCCTGGACAGCTGTGCCAGGGCTGCACAGCCCTTTCCAGGAGGAATTTCCCCAAAATCCACCCTGAGCTCAGGCTGAGGCCGTTCCCTCTCCTCCTGTCCCTGTTCCCTGGCAGCACAGCCTAGTCCTGTCACATCCTCGTGTGTCACTTTGCAGGTATTTCCTGGGAATAGTCCAATTCTTACTGTTTCTAGAGAATATTTTAATGCCACGAGATGGCAGCACAAAATCACCTTTCCCGGGTGTGCTCAGCTTGCAGAGGCTGCTCCAGACCCTGCACCACGGAGAACTCCGTGCTCTCACCTCAGGGATCACTCCAGGAGGAGAAAATATCCAGCCCTTACCAAGTGCAGAGCCAGAACCCAGCTTTTCCATCCCTTTTACCACCTACAGTTCCAGCATCCACTCATTTCCAACGCTGCTGTTCCACTGAGTTTGTCTCAGGGTCTCCCAGTGGCTCTCAGTCTCCTTTTCTGCTCTGGGTCTGTGTTTGCAAATAAATCAGCACCAGGGGAATTCCCTGGGCACTAAGCCCCATCCTTTATTTTGTTATCAGAATCCCCTGGAACAGCCTGGCTGGTGCCCACTTGCACAATTCAGAGCCCAGTATGGATCCTGGGACACTCCTGTCAGAGGGAAAGGGCTAAACCCTGCAAATATCCACAGCCCTGTGCCAGAAAATCCTGCTCTGGAGGCCTTAAATGTGCTGGTCCCCTCTGTGCATGGACAACCACAGGTCACTTCATGCCACCAACCAGGCTGGATGAGAGCTTACAGCTCTTTTCCAACCTTAATTCCGTGATTCTGGCATTGGCCACACGGTGACACTAAAGGGGGCCTCTGCTCACCACGGATTTGGGCAAGGAGGGGTGTGAAGACAGAAGCCAGGACCTGCCCCGTAATTCCACCACTCCCCTGGTGCAATCGGGGCTCTGAGCATCCACTTCAGCTTTTGTAGAAAAACCTCTTTTTTAAAGCGTTTCTTGCCAGGGAGTTAAAGGAGCAGAACCACAGAATTGTTTAGGCTGGGAAATTCTGAGACCATCGAGTTCAACCATTCCTCCCAGCACTGCCAACACCACACCTGCCACATCCACATGGCTTTTAAATCCCCCCATGCACAGGGACACCACCACTGCCCTGGACAGCTGTGCCAGGGCTGCACAGCCCTTTCCATGATGAAATTTTCCTTAATAATTTTCTTATTTTGTGGATGATTTTTCCTGGATCACCCAGGAAAGGGACAGCCATGCCCATTTCTCCCCGGCATCATCACCCAGGGGAGTTTGGAGCCCCACCTCTGGCTGCTCCCACCTGCTGCCCTCCCCACACAGCCAGCCAGGAGGAGCAATCCCTAATTAGTGCTGAGTAATTAGGTGCCTCTTACCTTGCCAGCACACCCATCTGCCTTCCACCAACCTTCACCACTGAGCTCTGGCAATGAAGATGCCACAGCTCTTGAAGTGGGAGCAGCGTGGAGGGTCACAGAGCCCCATGGTGACAGCACCTCTCCTTGTCACATGCTCAGGGTGGCCTTTGCTAATTTTAAACACCTCTTAGTAAACAGCTGCTAAATTTAGTGTCTCTGGAACACGAGCATCATTTTAAAGGCTGGATTGCTGGTGAGTGATGGCAGCAGAGGAGTGAGGGGGATTGGCCTGACCCAGATCCCTGCTCAGCAAAGCCAGACACCATCATCATTCTGTCTGCACAGAGCAGAAAAAGGAGCTCTCAAACTCTGGCCACCAGCACAGCAGCTTTCCTTGGATGACCCGTGATAAAGCCACAGGAATCACAGATTCATTTAGGTTGGAAAAGACATCCCAGGTCATCAAGTCCAGCCTTTGACTGATCCTCACCTTGTCACCCAGCCCAGGGCACTGAGTGTTCCTTGGGGACTCCACCCCCTCCCTGGGTCTGACCACCCTTCCACTGAGAATTTCTTCCTAAATTTCTTCACTGAAGAGAAAAAGCAACTAACTCTTTATTTCTTCCTGTGTCATAGCCTCATACACCCAAAGGATTTGGTTTTCTCCTCAGATTCCACTTTGCAACAGATCTGGCTGCTAGGAATCAGCTCTGGTTCCTGAGCCTGAGCTCTGAGGGACTGAAGCTGGACAGAGTTTTTATCTCTCTTCAGTCAAGAGTGCTGCACCCTCCTATTGCAGCCCAACTCCTTCTCAACTCAGTAACAGCATGAAAAGAGATAAAATGGGAGAAAAACAGCAATAAATTCAACATACCACCATCCTTCCCAGCTCTCCAGCAGCCAGGAAGGCATCCCACTCCACACTACAGCAGGGAATCCGCAGAGCTCAGCTGAGCTTGGAGAGAACCAGACAGAGCTGGTGCCTCCCCTGCAGACATTTATCTTGGGATGCACTGACTCACCCTCTGGAGGGGGATTTTTCCCTCTCTCTGTCCCTTTCCCCCCCCTCTGTAACTCATTTATCAACACAACTCCCACCCCACACACACAGAGAGGGAAGGGAGGCTTCACATGGGGCAGCAGATGCCAAAGCAGACGCATCCCTCACTCCTCACAGGCAGCTCTGGCCAGCAGCCAGCCAGATGGAGAAATGGAATGCAGGGAGATAAGGCAGTGGCTAAACGCCCGTGGTCTTCACCCTGAAAACTTTTATTTTTGGAAACTGTTTAGATATCTTTAAACTATGCTGATGGCTACATTGTGTTCACTTGACTTTAAAGAAGCACATGATTTATCTTTCTGAGGGAGTTTAAAAAAAAAAACAAGTTTTTTTTCTCATTCCTGATGGCCATTTCCACATGATGCAGACAAAACCTTGGGAGTCACTAACATCTGGAGTTAGTGACACACATCTGCACAGTCCAGGGGCTGCTTGGACAGGGTGAGTGCTCCTGTTACACTGGAGGACACATAATTAAAGCATAAGGCAACAAAAGAATACCCGGAGTTGGGAGGGACCCACAAGAAACATCAAATCCCACTCCTGGCCCTGCACAGGGCATCCCCAGAATCCCACCTGTGCTGAGAGCGTTGTCCAAACATTCCATGAGCCTTGGGGCTGTGACCACGCTGACCACAGTGCTGTCAGCTCTGCCCTAACCAGACCCCTTTGGTCAGGATTGTAGTGCTGGCACAGAAAATCTCCAGTTTGGAGAGATTATTCCATACAAACACAATTTGTGTAATGTGTTTCTGATCTATTTTCAACCTTGTTTTCCTCCTACTCCAAATTTTATAGGAAGAGAAAAAAAAACCCTATTTTTGTAATGTTGAATAAAAGAGCTGGAAGTTACCAAGTGAAGTGTCCAGGAAGTAGCACAGCACCCAGTCTTTTTATTACAACATTTATTTTAGTATAGAAGGCACTTACAATACAGAAAGAAAAAAGAAACAAAACAAACATGATAGGCACCAAAAGTGAAATTAGAATTAAAATGACAGAGAAACAGTTTACCAGACCAAAAAGGAGCACCCTTCCCTGTTAACAATACAGCACATGGAAATGAAGCTATTGATGACTAACATTTTTAACAATCAGAGGTTTTTATTTTTAATTTTTTTTTTAATAGAAAAGATAAAAGGCTGTTCTACTGCGAACTGAAATAAAACAGAACCCCCTCCACACACCTGCAGGAGGATTTGGGAGGTGGTGGTGGTCAGGCAGGGCTCCCTCAGGTCGGGCACTGCAGCAGGTCCTGGTACATCTCGATGAGCCGAGCAGCCTCCCTCTGCCCCGAGAGCACAGCACCGTGGGTCGTGGAGTAATACTTCCTGTGAGTGGCCTCCCCTGAAAACATCACCTGCACGGGCTGCAGGGCACAGCACAAGGGGCACAGATCAGCACAGCTCACTGGGGAGCAGCTGGGAGGGTAAAAGGAGACAAACTTTCTGTGCCCTCCCACACAGGACGGTTTGCGTTGGAAGGGACCTGAAAGATCATCCAGTTCTTCCTCTATCCCAGGTTGTCTCCAACCTGGCCTGGAGCACTTCCAGGGATCCAGGGGTTTTCATCTGTTTTGGTGGGCTGGTTCTCAAAACTCCCCACGAGAGGCACCACAAGATGCCAGTTCCAAAAAACCTTAACAAACCTGCAGGAGGCACAGAGCACCATCTGTACCATCTCCTCCCTTTGCTCCCCTAAATTACATTTCAGCCTTTTAGGCATTAAGGGAATTTTTCTTCTGGACAGCAACTTCAGTAGATTAACAGCCATGTCTCAAAACCCAGAGGGTGAGACACAGCATTGTATCTCTTAGACCAATAGTGAGGTGCTTGCTAGAACTGCAACTCGGATTTGAGGCAGGAATTTCTGGGAGGTTTTCCCTGGGAACTACACAGAAAGATTCCTAAAGCTCCTACTGGGTTTTCTTAAGTAGATTTCTGCACTGAATAAAATAATTTCTGCTCGGGCCAGGAGTGGTGGAGGAAATGGTCTGGGCAGCTGCTTGAATGCTGCATTTTCATCAGCCTTTGGATTTGGACACATAACCCTGAGTGATGGGGTGAGTTTGGCTTAATGTGTTCCTGAGCTGTGTAACCACCTCCATGTGTGCTCCAGTTCTCCTTGCTAAATTCAGAAAGCCAAGGCAGTGCCTGGGGAGAAAACTCATCATCCCCTGCCAAGGACTGGGCCTCCCTCAGCCTGCACTGCCAGCACAGAAAGATTTCCCAGTATGCACCCCTGACACATTCAGACCTAGACATTAGCAGGATAATAATAATAATAATAATAATAATAATAATAATAATAATAATAATAATAATAATAATAATAATAATAATAATAATAATAATAATAATAATAATAATAATAATAATAATAATAATAATAATAATAATAATAATAATAATAATAATAATAATAATAATAATAATCTTTAAAACAGATTAGCACATGCTTTCCTGAGGAATTCTGAACTGGACAATAGGGCTGACGGTCATTAAATGACAACATCACAATTCCAAAAGCCACACACATGAGCAGCTCTTGATAAATTCAGGGAGAGATGAGGGAATCCCTGAGACATTGGCATTCCAAACGTTAAATAGGTAAAATCCTACACACATCACTTGTAGGAAATAGAAAGGGGGAAACACACTACTGGAGGCCAAAGCAGGGATTTTCTCTTTCAACCTCCCTCCCCAAAAAGCTGCTACCCAGTGTCCCATCAGTTTTGTTGCCCCAGGCCCCATCTGGGCCATACTCACAGGAGTTTTGGAGCTCTCAGCATAAGGCAGTGGTTTCGCCAGTTTCTCCACGTCGGCCCCACTAGACCCAACCTGGGTGTAGGAGTAGGATCCACGGAAGTGGGGATTGCTGCCCCAGGAGGACCGCAGGATCCGGCGAGGTTTCGGAATGTTTGGATTCCCTGGGTGGAAAGCGGAAGGAAAAAAAGTCAGACTGTGTCCAGGAGGGAAGAGGGCAGTGCCTGAGCAAGGTGTGGGTGACAGAGATTCCACTTTATTCAACATCCATCCTAGCAGAGCCCCCAAAGCAGATCTCTCTTCCACCACTGAGTTTTAACAATTTATATAACAGAAACTGCCTCCCTTTTCACCTCAGCTCTTCCATTTTCCAGGGTGTTGGGGGAATTCCACCTGGGTGGTGTCCAAGGAACAACACCTGGAGCTGTCCAAGGAGCAACTGGATGAAGCACTAAGCACCCTGGTCTGCTTGATAAGGTGGGGAATTGGTCACAGGTTGGACTCCATGACCTTGGAGGTCTTTTTCTACTTAAATGATTCTCTGATTTGTTTTGGAAAGGAGCATTAAAATGTTTAGGTTCCTGAAACACTGGGGAGCTTCAGGGAACCTTGGACACAGCCTGGTTTGGAAATACAAAGCATCTTCTGGTCTCATTTGCAGTGGGCAGCCTGATGGTAATCAAGCATGTGACAGATCTCGCAAAAATTTAGGTATGAAATTGAGTGCCTGGTCTGAATTGGATGTTCAGGTAGCCTTGTGAGAGAGATGTGCCTCCAAAGAGGAAAGAAGGCAAATCTTCCTTATGTGGAGGCATTGAAAAACCTGTCAGGAAGTCCTCAAAACCTGTATTAACTAATTCCAACAGCTTCCCATACCGTTGTCCCCCAAATGAAGGAAAAATCCAGGAGACTCTATTTATTTAATGCACAAGGCACGGAAAGAAGACTTTTGAGGCTGGAAGCAAATTTCTACATCACCGTAGGATTTCCACAGCTAAGAGGATGCAGGACCTAGAGGAGAACAATGCACCTAGGACAGGGTGACCAGCCACTGTCCCCATCCCATAGACCTTGGAGAACATAGGATCCAGGACTGCAGCCCACCAGCTGGTGGCACAAGAGCCTCAGGTACAAGCAGGGAGAGTCACACTTTGGAGATTCTCTTGCTAGTTTTGCACCATCTCAGTGTCGCTGCTTTTGTTGGAGTCCCATGATTGTATCTGGCATGGCAGGAGAGGAACAGGGGGACATGGAGAATTCCAGTGAAGAGAAATTCCCTCTGCAGAAGGCAAGATTCACCCTTGAGGTAACATCACATACCCAAGCAAGGTTCAGCTACCTGAACCTTGAGTTGAGTCTAAATCTTCAACAGCAAGGGGACTTGAACTGGATGATCATAAAGGTCTCTTCCAACCCAAACCATTCTATGATTCTTCATGGAAAGGGTTGTCCAGCCCTGGCAGAGCTGCCAGGACAGTGGTGGAGTCACCACTCCTGGAGGGATTTAAAAGCCATGGGGATGTGGCACCTGGAGACATATGTCAGTGGTGGCCTTGGCAGTGCTGGGGGAATGGGTGGGATTGATGTTCTTAAAGAGCTTTTCCAACTTAAGTAATTCTGTGATTCCAGAAGATCGTCAGCACAAAAAATAGGAGTTTTGAGATGTTCACATCCTTTGCCTGCTTCAGACCCTGACTCTGTGACAACTCAAGATGTTCAGCCTGCCATGAGACAACCCAAATTCCCCCACTTTCTTCATCCCAGTTGAGAGGGAGACACCCAAATGTAAACCCTGGTTAGGCACTGCATTATTTAACTCTCATAAACTGTTATTTAGCTGTGCCTTCAATTCCTTAAAATCAAGAGCAGGTCCTGGTTCAGCTTCTGCTTTCAGAAGTATCCTGTCAGCCAGAGCAATGGAATAAGGGGCTGGAACAAAGCAGAGGATGGCCTGCCCAGAGTACTCTGTGAACACTTTAAAACCAGGCCCCAGATAAAAATATGGCACAGACTAGCAAATAAATATATCCCACAAACAAAACACATCCTACAAAGCAATGTTGTTTCAGGAGTAAGAGCTTTGCATAACAAAGGCCTCTGAAACATGTTCCTGCAAGACTCTTCAAAGCAGAAATGCCTGGAAGTGGAAAGCCCAAGGGAGTCTGAGAACTGGGAGCTCTCAGATATATCAAGGAAGTAAGTTATCATGTTTTATTTTTGAGGGCTGTGGGAAAGCCCAGGAGAATACACCATGGAAGCTGTCATAGAACACTCCCCAGGCAGAGCCAAGGCAGCCACCCATCCCACTGCACTGCACAAAAACAGCACACGAGTGGTTTTCAAACAAAAGGAGTCTCTGCAGTGGCCTGGTGGTGCCTCTTCCAGAGCTGGTGCATGTTTCCATATCCACATCCATCCACATGAGCTCCTTCCCAGGTCTCCAGCACACCAGGCCATGTCAGCAAGACCCAAGTGTCCACTGTGCAGCAACTGTGCCCCTGCACTCTGCAATTCTGCACCTTTTAATGCAAGCAAAAATTTCCTCATTTACTAAGAGGAAAATCAGGAGACCCAGAGGAGGGTTTTGGTTGAAGGTCAGACAGAAGCACGTAGCACAAGTTCTGATCCTGAGCTGTTGTTTGAAGACAGCAACTACAAAGGCTGAGAGCCACAGTCCTTCAAGGAACATCTTTCACTGGACTTTCTCATTCTGCTTTTAAACAGGGTAAACAGCCTTTGTCTACAGATGAAAGTAACAACACAGATGTGGAAAGTTCTCTATTCCCACCATCCAAAGAGAGATTAAACGGCTAAAGAAAGGATGTTGGCCTTCACTAAAGCAGGAAGGCACATATCTCCATGCCACAGATTTCCACTTGTGAAGCTACAGAAGACAACTCCCTGTGCCTCACACAATCCCACTTTAGTTCAGCTCCTGGGAGGTGTGGATACAGAGGTTTATTGGTTATAGGGCTGACTGAATTACCATAAAATCAACTTAATCAATCTAAGTTATGGCACCCAAATTAATTTGCCTACCTGAGAGCAGGATGTAAGATTCCACCAAGTGGTACTGCCCCCATACCAACTACAACCACAAGAGTGGCTACCCCAGACACCCACATGGGACTGGGAGATGTGATGCAGAACCTAAAACAGATCTGTTCCCCTCCTGGAGGTCAGGGAGGAAAACTCAGGGCATCTCCAGCTGCAGCCTGCCAGGCTCCAGTGATCCCTTCAGCAGGGAGCCTCTGGCTTCCTACTCTGGGAGCTTATCCAACAAAGAAGGCAGAGCAAGGCTCCTAATTGCACTGAGGTATTCCATTTAATCAGATTTGGGAGACACCGCTTTTCACCATCCAGTTGTGAAAAGAAGTAATTGCTGATGGTTCTTAGGTTAGAACAATCCTCAGAGCTTTTCACAGCAAAGCCAGATAATCCCCAACGCCGACCTGAGAGGAAAATTCAAGGTCAGTTCACAGAGAGATTCTCAGTGTGAGCCTAAAAGAATGGATTTAACTTAAAACTTATAAAATACTCTGAAGCCAGAGGAAAGGCCACCACAAGCAATAGACTGGGAAAACACAGTGAAAGATGGGAACCTACCTGGTAATGTATGAATTCTTTCTCAGAAGAATAAGAGCATGGGGCATTTCATACCCAGAACATGAAAGCCACAAAAGGCAAAAGGAACATTAAAAGGCTCAAACTATCTGCTTCATTATTGAATATAAGGCTCCCTCTATACTCAGTAGAGAAAAGCTGCTTCAGAAGATGTCACAGAGCACCACCAGGTGAGGTGTGGAAGATCTGAGCTGCCTTATGGAAGATCCAGGCTCTCCAAGGAGATCAGGATCCTGGCAGGACTAGTTTCCTAAGCTGGTTAGCTGACCCGTGTGAACTTGAGTGTTGGGAAAGGCTTTCGGAGCTGGGTCTGGTGGTGCTAATTGGACCAGAGGAGTGCAGCTGTGCTCAGAAGTGGCTGTAGGTGTATCATGGGCTGCTGCTCTAACCCCCTCTCACACTCCCCCTGGAACAGATCAGCAGGGAAGAAGGGAGGTGCACAGAGAGCTGAGCACACTTCTGTTATTTCAGCCAGCCTGGCACCTGGCCCAGATCAGCCCTGAGGTATTGCTCCTTCTGGGAACCTCTAGGGAAAACAGGAACAAGGGAACAGGATAAACCCAGCTCCCTTAGCCAGGGAATCCTGCAGGAGCTGTGAAAAGGTTTTCTACCAACAAAGGGATTGGGGGCAGAGTGGAACAGGTCATATGGGAACCTCTAGGGAAAACAGGAGCAAGGGAAACAGGATAAACCCAGCTCCCTTAGCCAGGGAATCCTGCAGGAGCTGTGAAAAGGTTTTCTACCAACAAAGGGATTGGGGGCAGAGTGGAACAGGTCATGTTGGGTAATGGGTGATCCAAAAACAGGTTTTCCTCTCACAGTTTTCAGCAGCTGCAAGACCACTTCTCAGCTGAAGCACAAAATGCTCATTGCAGGGCAAGGCCCTGGTAAATCCGGTCTGGAATTCTCCAAGGAGAAATAACCTGGGATTAGCTGTGTGGAAGAGCCTGATGGACAGTGACCAGGTGCAGCATCAGCTGCAACAGCAACTGCAGCACAGAGCCAGGGCCCAGAGCCACATATTTCCATGCTGGGAGGAGAGGAACATCCAACACACGTAAACAGTAGCTGTGAAAAAACCCAAGAAGGAAGAGGGAGAGCAAACTCCCACGTGCCAAACGACAACAGACCCAAACAGCCAAATTCCCACTGATGAATTGGAGTGGGTTTTGGAATTTTTTTTTTTTTTTAAATAGGCCTTAAGCAAGAAAAGCTGCAACAAACAAGGGTGTTTGTACATTCAGCACTGCGACAACTTGGCCTGTGAGAGAAGTGCCTCCTGCTAAGCCTGTGTAGAGCAGCAGTTCCCTGCTGGGGTTAGGGGAAAGATGGCACATAGGGAATGATGTAACACAGGACATGGGGACACCCAACACCCTGAACACCAGCAGCTCAGGAGGCACAGCTGAAACAACGATGCAGGCTTGGGCCCTTTTCAATTCAGAGTCTCTACCCTACAGCTCTTGTAGAAAGTGGTAAAACCTCTTTTGCCTGTAGTCAGTTATGCAGGAAGTCCTCAGATTCCAGAGCCCTTTCAGGAAAAAGGTTCTTCACCCAGAGGTGCTGGAACAGGCTCCCCAAGGAATGGTCACAGCACCAAGCCAGACTGAGCTCAAGAAGCATTTGGACAATGCTCTGAGGCACAAAGGGATTGTTGTAGTGTCCTGAGCAGGGCCAGCAGCTGGACACGATGATCCTGATGGGTCCCTTCCAATTCAGGATATTCTGTGATTCTGTGACTCTCTGGATCTCCATGCTGTTGGTGGCAAATGGGCAGTAAGGACAGGGGAAAGCTGCACTTGTGAAGACAAACTTCTCCACTTAGCTGGAGCTCCATGGACAAGAGGTAAGGTTGGAAACCCCGAGTGCTGAGACTGGGCTAAAACCAGCTAGCAGGAAGATATTAATCATTTAATCACAGGAGCCATCTCTAAAATAGCATAAACTACACTTAATCTTGAAGGATGCTCCTCTTATAACTGCTTGTAATTCTGTATAAATTCAAAACCCTTATTTCAAAATTGCTATTAAGTCCATCACTATTTCTTTCAGTGTCACTACCTTATACCTACACTTGCACCGTGCCTCCCATCAGAGGATGTCAAAGACTCTCAGATACAAAAATCCCTTTTCCTGGAAAGGTGTGTGATGTCCAGAGAAGTGACTGTGGACAAGCTAAAGCCCAGCATCCAAGTGTTATTGCTTTAAGTGATTTCATTTGGATTTTTTCAGTGTAATGCACCTAAGATTTGCCTCAGTCCAACTGCTGCCCTTAAAGTGATGTGTGATCACAGAACATGAAATCTGAGAAGTCCAGGAAGGTTTCAGTGATGCACCCAGAAAATGGGAACCTCAGTGTAATGCACTAAGACTTGCCTCAGTCCAACTGCTGCCCTAAAAGTGATGTGTGATCACAGAACATGAAATCTGAGAAGTCCAGGAAGGTTTCAGTGATGCATCCAGAAAATGGGAACTCTCAAGATCAATAAATTTTTTGAAATTTAGGTCTTGGAGATTATTTCCATCTATCTGATACTGAATGGAAGTCAGGGATGTGACGGAAACACAACTCAGCTGATCTAAACAGGTTCAATTTCTGAAGGGGCCATGCTTGCTCTCCACAGCTGAGATCAGCCCTCAGAGCCCGACAGCTTCAGCTGCTGAAGAGTTATTTGTGATTCAATAAAGCAGAGGATGTGGAATCCTCCAGCACTTCTGCCCATCACTTCCTGAGCCGGTTTATCAGCCCCTCTGTATAAATAGCTCTCAGGCACACCCAAGCAGGAGCTATGCTGGAAGCACACGCACATTCAAAGGGACACAAAATGCCAAAGAACTAAAAATGACTTTAAAGCATTTCCTTCCTCGTGGTTGTTTGATTCCCCAGCCCCATGCTCCCTCTCCCACCAAGGCTGACCTGTAAATTTACGTAGCATTTCGGTGCAGGTTTCTGCCACAGTTTCATCATCACACTTCTCCATAATCAAAGCCTCTTCTCCACAGATCCAGCCACTGAGGACGTGGCCGTACCTCTCGGGTGGGTACAGCACATCAAAGCTGCAGATCTTCTTGTACCACAGCTCCTCAGGATAAGTCAAGCTCTCGCTCTCTGCCTCGTCTTCCCAGACAAACTGGATGCTGTTGCACTCAGAGCTCCAGAAAGGCTCTTCAAACTCCAGGAAGATCTTGTCAGTGGTATTGATTCCCAGTTTCTCAATGGCCATCACCTTCTCCTCAGGCAGGCGGGGATGGAACAGGCTCTCGTGGCGCTTCTTCAAGACTCCCAGGGACACAGTCACAATGACATGGTCAGCTGGGATGAACTCACAGTCCTCGCACTCTACGAAGACATTGGAGCCCTTGTTCTCCTCGGGGAGGTCACTGTTGTGGTCAGCCACCCTCTCAATCTCCTTGCTGACCGACTGGTTCCAGTGGATGCACTTGACCGGCTTGCGGAGCTGAATGACAGACTTGGGAATGGAGCGGGCCAGAATCTCCACGATTTTAATGAAACCACAAGGAATGACGTGATGAGCCCCGGGGATTTCGGTCCATTCCCCAAATTCACTCAGCGAGACTTCATCCATGCTGTGGGAGCTGCTCTCACAACTCTCTACCTAAGGAAAAGCAACACAAAAGCAACATTGCCACAGAGCAACTCCTTTAGCCACAGCACAGCTCTGCAAGGGCACAGAGGAGCTGCATGAGATGAGAGTGATGAATTCCACTCTGAAACCAGATTAGTTTTGCTAGTAAAGAAGTGCTTGGCCACAGGATCTGACAAAAATCAATCCTTAGCCTTTCTTGCAACCAGAGAAACCATTTTGTCATGGTAAAGAGTTGGAGTTGCATCATCCAGCGTTCAGAGACCAGAGGGCTGGAGCCCTGTACAACAAAGCCCCTCTGATCTGAAGACAAAATGAGAGCTGGGGCTGTTCAGCCTAGAGAAGAGAAAGCTCTGGCAAGACCTCCTGACACCTTTCAGTACCTAAAGGTGTTACAAAAGAGCTGGAGAGGGACTTTGGACAAGGCCAAGGAGTGACAGGAGAAAGAATTACAGCTTTAAACTGATGGTCAAATTAAATTAGATGTGAGGAATAAATTCTTCCTTGTGAGGGTGGTAAGGTCCTGTCACAGGGTGCTCAGAGAAGCTGTGGCTGCCACAGCCCTGGAAGTGTTTTCAAGGCAGGTTGGATGGGACTTGGAGCAGTCTGAGATAGTGGAAAGTGCCCTGCCCATGGCAGGGGATGGAACTGCATGGTCTTTAAGGTCCCCTCCAACCCAAACCATTCTGTGAATCTATCATTCCATTATGTCTTTGCTTCTGCACAATTCTGGGTTAAAGTTCTGGTTTCTATCCTTTAAAACCCTCTGCAGTGGCCAGGGACCCACTGCCTGGTGCTCCTACAGCAGAACCTGGAGTTGCATTAATCAGATGCTCATTCCAATGCTAATAAATGTTCCCTCGAGGAGCCACAAAAAACTTCTGGCAGCTCTTTGTGCTGTCTGCAGCTTTCAGCCTGCTGTCAAACAGTCAGCAACCAGCCAGCTAACAATCTGCCAGAGGTGAGAGGACCCAGCACAGGAGGAACTGAAGGAGACGGAAAAGGGAAATGCCAAGATGTGAGCCACGCGTGTTTGATGTGATTACCAAAGCTTTAGATCCATTAACCTGTTGGTTAATGTTTGTAGGAGTATTAAGCATAGCTGTAGCTCCCAACAATCCCTGGAACAAAGGCAGGATGTTTGGCCTGTCTTGTGATAAGCTTCTAATGATAATCCTGATGCACGGGACACAGTGATCTTAAAATCTTCACATCACCGGAGTCACAATCGCTCGCACACTGTAATTCTCTAAGCATTTTAAGGAATATTACAATTCCTTACCTCGCCCTTTGACTTATTTTCCAGACCTTTCCACACTTTAATGACTGTGCTTGGAAGCCTGACAAGCCCAGACTGTCTCCCTGTGGAGCACCCTGGTGCAGAGCAGGAATCTCTGTGCTGGGACAAAGTGAACAAGTCAGGGCTGTACCAGCAGGTCCCAGGCTGCTCCTGTGCCTGCAGGGACCAACAGGTGCCTTCCCTGTCCTGGTCACTGCCTGATAACTCCAGTGGGGACTGAGTGAAGACCCATCTTTGGACTGTGCTGTAGTTCCACCCTACCCAAGCACTTCCCAGACATCCCCCAGGGTGACAACACAAAATCCGTGGCACACAGCAGGATCCTCATCCTGCTTGGATGCTCCAACAGGACACTCCTCATTATGAAGTTAAACACTGGTGGCTGTTTGATTCTCTCAACCATGAAGGCAAAATGCCAGGGGGAAAAAACAAGCAACTAGGAAGACTCTAACCCAAGGCAGGTAAATCCCCACTCTGTCATCTGATAGTCTTAAGTATGAGAAGCTTTGTTGTTCTCAGGTATTTGCATGAGAAGGGATTTGCAAGACTTGCAGAAACAGCTCCCACTGTGGCAGCCTGGAGCAAGCACAGGAAAAACCACCAGGAAACCCAGAGCTGTATCCAGTGACTTAACCCTGTCTGCATGGGTGCTGTATATGGGTAACACAATAAATAACTGAGCTTTACGTGGCAGCTGTGGAGACACTCTGTGAGAAAAGGTTTTGGGTGAGGATGCTGAGATATTAGGCTCAGGACACCAGGGTTCAAACCTCAGCTTCATCTCAAATCTCCTGCGAGACACTTTAGGTCTTTATTCCTCTTTGGTTTAGCTTCCCACCTGAAAACAGTGAATTCATAACAAAGTGCTGCTTGCCTCCCCTGCCTCATTTCTGAAGCTTTTAAGTCATTCTAATTGAAATAAAAATAACTGATACACTATACTCGTGGAGTGCTTGATGCAGCATTAAGTCCTCATCCCACAGAGAACTCAATTAGCCAAGGCACCAAGGAGATAAAAAAAACTATGGAAGCTGTGTGGAAAGTTGTCTGTCTTGGATTTTATTGCTTTACCTTCAAAATGCTTTCTGGGGACTTCTTCAGCAAATTACTAGCATCAAAGTTACACTTCTTCTGGTCTCTGAGAGGTAAAAAACACTCAGGCAGGATCAGGGGATGCAGGTGTAAGTCACAAGATAAGACACTACTAAAAGAACCTGACAATAGAGTTACTTCAGGTGGCAAAAAAAACCCCTAGATCATACCAGAAAATTTAACAAGGCCTAGGAAAGTCTCTTCTATTAAGACAACTGGGGTTTTAAAGTAAGAAAAAAAATAATAAAGGTAGTATTCTTGCAGCCCAGTGTCTTTGGATCTGCACCAGGAGGGCAAGTTGTCAACAGAAACACAAACTGCAAGAGAGTGCAGAAAGCAATTTCCAGGGCTGGGCAGGGCTCAGAGAGGTGCATGAGGTTGAAGATTTTTTTGCTCCTAGTTTAAACTCAAACAGAACACCCCAATGATGTGCACACCTACCTTCAGGTACTGCTGGATCATGGCCAGTTTCAGCCTCTTGACGGCCTCCGTGTCATCCGGGTCGGCCTTGACGCGTTTGCGCACGACGTCCCGCGTGAAAACGCCCACGCTGTTCTGGCTCTCAGCATTGACTGGTTTACCTCGTTGGAAGAACTCCTGAGTCAGGTTATAGACCTGCCAGAGACAGGACACAAGGATGGGATCATCCAGCACATTCACCTCCTCCTCCCAGCAGAAGCCACGTCCTTCCTCACATCTGATAAAAAGCACCGGCTCTTCTCCCACCTCCGTGCCAATCCCATCCGGACACCAGCCCTTCCACCTTCTCCATTATTTAGAAGGAATCCACCAGAGTGGGTGAATTGAGTTTCACAGCTGTTATTCTGTTGTTCCATTTATGGGGATTTTTGAAGGAATTTTGAATGAGTTAGAGATGGGATTTTTGAGTTTTTAGAGAATGTGATTTTTCATATCTTCGACATCGACAGGAAGGGTGAGCTTAGCTCACATCTTTACTGCATGCTTTAGAAAGTCACAAGATCACTAGTTATAAGACCTTTTAAGGATTTATTGATTAATAAAACACTGTTAAAAAAGATATTTATGTTTTTTACTTAATCCTTAAATATTTAGGATTTTTTATGGACTTATGCTGCAGTGCAACCTTTCTTAGTTAATTATGTTATGATACATAAACTTACAGTACTGTATTCTAAACTTGTTTACCTTTGTAACTACTTTTATTTTTTCTATATCCTAAATTCTAAAACTCTAAACTTTCCTCTTTTTACCTTAACATGTCTCTGCTTTAAACTATAAATCCACATTCTCGCTTGTAGTACTTAAGTTTGGAAGACTTTTCCAAGGTCTCAGATCAAATCTTGCATTTAATTCTAGGTTTGGCTTACAGGCCCAAAGTTCTGAGAATTCCCTGCATTTTGGATTCCAACATCCCATGAAATCAGGGTGACAAACAGCAGAGGAATTCTGTATGCACACAATTTTACTTGAGCACAGGACAGGCAGAAATCCATGGAAAACAGTGACATGCCTAGAGCCCCTCACCAGGAGCCACAGTAAAAATCCCTTGTGACAAATCATTCTTCTCTGAAGATATTCCTGGTGTTTTTCAACCCCAGTTTTCCATACAAGCTACGTAAAGGCAAGGAAACACCATCCACCTCAGCCCTCTGCTTGTGGCTGTCTGGAAAAACTTGTATTTCTATCTACATTACTGCCAGAAGAGCCTGCAATTGCATCATGGCTCTTCCTTTCTACGGAAAACAAAAAACTCAAGAGGAATCTTTTAACACAGGAAGGCTTTCAAAAGATGCCTCTCAGAAATGCAGCACATCCCATTAATGATTTGTTTGTCCAGAATGTGTCCCCTTCTCATGCACATCATGCCACAGAGTGAACAATATTCTTACATCTCTGCCTGGGGAGTTTTTCCTGTCAAAGATGGTTTGATTACACCTTATGATCATTTTTTGGATGCGATGAGATGATCTGGATATGTCAAGAAGTTGAAGTCTACAGTAAATATCTGGTACAAGGCTGGTAAAAAACTGTGGCAGCCTTGCCTTCAAAAACTCCTGGAGCTTCTCATTCCCTGCTGATAGGGCTAATCCACTCTGGTTTACGTTCTTCCCACTCCAATTTTCCCCAAGAGCTTGATTTTATCTTGGGTTTTAGGAATAAAGTGAAATTGATGTGGCAAAATAGAGAGAACAGGAGGAAAGGGAGGAGGATAAACACATTGCAGTGGTAGGAGTGAGAGAGAGGAGATCTGTGAACAAATGGAGGAAGGTGAGTTGAAAAGTAAGGGATGAGGAGAAAATTGAAGAAAGTAAGGGAAAGAATGAAAAAAAAAAGGGGGGGAGAAATAAATTATAAAAACAGAGAAGAAACAATCACAAGGAAAATGAGTGGGACTGGTAAAGACAGAAGAGAATTGCAGACACTGCCTGGGACATGGCCATTCCAAGGAGATTCCCAGACAAGAATGGTGGGGCCCAACGTCCTATAAGAAACAAAGGCTTCCAGCAAAGGAAACTTTGGCAGTTCCAGCATCCCTTTGTTCTCAGGTCCCTGGATTTCTGAGGCCACAAGCACTTGCAGCAGGTCCAGGCTGCACAGACCTTGCGTCAGCACAATCAGCTCGGCTTTCATAATCTGATTGAGCTCTGTAAGCAGATAACAAACTCACAGGACAAGCAAAGCCCTGCTAAAACCCAGCCACTACTTGGCCCACAGGAGAAGTGAGCCTGACTATGTTTTTGTTAACCATTATATTCTTCACTGCCCCACAGGGAGCAGAGCAGGAAGGCACAAGTTCTGTGTGCTGTAACCACGAAGGAAAGTCTTTCCTGGAGGTGCCATCCCATTCATCAGACAGCAGGTAAGTTCAATCACATCAGGATTTCTTATTTCTCCTGTTATTTCCTTGCTTTTCAAGTTCAAGAAGCATTTGGACAACACCCTCAGACACAAGGTGTGACTTTGGGGGTTTTCCTGTGCAGGCCCAGGAGCTGAACTTGATGATCCTCCTAATTCAGGATACTCTGATTCTTGGGGGTGCTGAACCATCAGAGGAAGAAGAGGAGGCAAAGCTGTGGTAGGCAAGAAGCAAAAGGAGAAACAACAGCAGGTCCTACCTTGAGAGTCAGAATATGGTCAGAATAAATGAGTGAAAAAGATGCTTAAAATGTATGTTTTAATGAACATGAGCAGCAAACACATCCTGTGTAAGAAGCTATGGAAAAGCTTCACTAGGACACCTCATTTAAGGTAGATTTCCAACTAAGCAGGAGCAAAATTATGCTGTCTGGAGTTGGAATTATCCAGGCTTTCCCTCTCCAGATGGGGAAAGCACTGTCATTCCTATGGGACCACCCCTGGGGTCACTGGGAACAGGCAGTTGTAATATCTGAAAACCCATACTCCTCCAATCATTTCAACATTTCAGCAGCAGGATTCCTGAGAGAGTAGAAATGGGCTTTCCCTCAAAGATCCTGGGGAAAGGTAACAACAAGAATGACCTGAAAGATTCCGCTGATTTTCTAGTTAACCCTTCAAAATCTCCCTGCATCCAAATCAGAGCTCCATGTCCAGCAAGGAGAGCTACACCACAGAGAGTCCAGCCAACCTTTGCTTTTCTATTATCACACACCTGATACAAGCAGGGAGAAAAAGCAAAGGAGAGACTGCATCATTACCACTGGCAATCTCACATCCCAGCAGGATGACCTGAACATGTCTCACTCTGAAGTTCCCCTGAGGTGGGACAGCATAAGTGGCACTGGAAGCCTGACTGAAAAAAAACTGAAGTAAAAAACAGAGATCTCAAGTAACCATTCATTCTAAACATTCTTCCTTCCCTCATTCTGAAGGCTTATATACAATCCTCCAGGGAATTCACAGAATCATGGAATGGTTTGGGTGGGAAGGGACCTTAAAGGCCATCCAGTTCCATCCCCTGCCATGGACAGGGTCACCTTCCATGATGCCAGGGTGCTCCAAGCCCCATCCAACCTGGCCTCAGACACTTCCAGGGATCCAGGGGCAGGCACAGCTTCTCTGGAAAATCCATTCCAGGGCCTCACTGCCCCCACAGGGAACAATACCTTCCCAATATCCCATCCATCCCTGCCCTCTGTCAATGGGAAGCCATTCCCCCTTATCCTGTCAGTCCATCCTTGGTCCAAAGTCCCTCTCCAGCCCTCCTGGAGCCCCTTCAAGCACTGGAAGATGCTGGAAGGTCTTCCTGGAGCCTTCTCTATGCTGAACAACCCCAGCTCCCTGGGTCTGCAAGACAGAAGGGGTTAAAGGTAAGAAATTAAAACAAGTTAATTGAATGTCCACAGTCCTAAAACAGTTTCACTTCAGCTTCCATCTTCTGTCTTCTTTCTGACCAGCTCTGGGGCATCCCACAACCAGGGTCTGTGCAGGGAACGTGGATTCCAGCAGGGATGTCACCCCTCTGTTACCTACAAGCTTCCTCCTCCACAAGTTTATTTACTACCTACGTGCTCCTCCACCACAGGAAAAAGCAGTTTCTTAGGAAGAACAAAGCTAAATAAAGAAGTTTCTCCGCACTGAAGGAGGTCAGGAAAGCACATCCCCATCCACACTCCTTCCTGTCAGCTCCGGTGACGATGCCCAGCATTGTCTTTTGCTCACTTGGCTTAAAAACTGCCGTGACTTAATCCCTGTCCAGTAAAAAGCCCTGATGGAGATAGGGCTGTGCTGTTCCCAGGCCAGACATCTGTCAGTGCAATAGAGGCAGGGAGGGAGCGGTGACTCTCGGTGGCCCTTTGGTCCTGCTTTCCATGATAACTGCAAGGCAAGGCACTGGAGCTTAATTGGGGATGGCAGGAAGCCCAGCACGGGGTGGGGGTGTGGAGGATGAAAAACGCTGTCATTCTTTGGCTGCATCCCTCCCCGAGAAGCTGTTGCAGCACACAGGAGAAAGCTGACAGATAACAAGGCCATTAATTAGCTGATTGTTAAAGGGAGGGTTCCTGGGAAGCAGCTCTTTCGGGACCACATCCTTGCTGAAAAGCTGAAGTAAAAGCAGGTACTTCTCCTAAATCAGGCTGGTGATGGACTGTGATTTTCCAGCTGCATTTAACCTGTCCAGCTCACCACTTCCCACTTCTCACTAATACCTGGGAATCGGCTTCAAACACCTCCCTGGAAAGGGAAATAAGAACTTACCAGGGACAGAGGAACAGCTCTGAGATAAATTGTCCCTGTTCCCATTTTCTGAGGAGTCATACACACACAGACCCCAAAGGTGCAGACATTACCCTCAGAGGTCCCACTCTGGTCATTTTCCTGAGAATCATGCAAATGTAGTATAAGCAAGAAGAGACAAAATCCTCTCCCAGCCCCAGGATTCCCCCAGTTATCCTAGAAGGAATGGAGAGGAAGGTTGGAAGATGACAAATACATGATGTGGGCATCACACCCTGGGGAACCTCCCTGTGCTGGTGCCTTTCCTTTTGGAGACTGACCAAATGGAGTGACAATGACCCTGAGCAGTGCCAGCCCCACACAGCACACGATCTAAGAAGGACAATCCTAAAAGTCCTGCCCTGTCTCATGGTGCTTCCCTTGGCAATGCATGGCTGGGAATCCAGGTGGACTTGTCTCTTCTTGACAGGCCCAGGATTCCCCCAGTTATCCTAGAAGGAATGGAGAGGAAGGTTGGAAGATGACAAATACATGATGTGGGCATCACACCCTGGGGAACCTCCCTGTGCTGGTGCCTTTCCTTTTGGAGACTGACCAAATGGAGTGACAATGACCCTGAGCAGTGCCAGCCCCACACAGCACACGATCTAAGAAGGACAATCCTAAAAGTCCTGCCCTGTCTCATGGTGCTTCCCTTGGCAATGCATGGCTGGGAATCCAGGTGGACTGGAGACCTTCCTTGAAGGCACTGGTCTCCTTCCACAAAGAGAATTCAGGTCACATCAATCTCATGACAAATCCTGACTGACCCCAGTGCAGGGCAACAGCCTCACCCAAGGAACTTTCTGCTGGAGAAATAAAGAGCTGAGCAGTCTTCAAGCAGTCTGACTGCTCCACTTCCTCGTAACCAAATAAAGGCTCCTGTGAGACATCCCTACAGCTATTAAAAATTCAGGCTACTGCAAACAAAAATGCAGCAAAACTTGTATTGAGGTAGAAGAAGCCAGCCAAAAAAGATTGGATAAGTGCCTGGAAAAAGCCTAAGGACTTTCCAGATGAATTAGCGAGGCAAAGCTCTGGAGGTACAGAGGTGCTTTGCCTTTCACTCCAGGAAAACTCAGCAGAGAAAGACCTTGCCTTGCTAAAATGCAGTTTCAGAGACTCCACATGCCCCAGTGAAACTCAAGGGAGACCCCTTGCACTTTGAATTCCCTAGAATCTGGTGTCCAGATGACAAGATAACTGGGGCTAGAGAGACCCAGCTGGAGGAGAAGAGCTGGAGGCACAGGCTGGAGCCACAGCAGCAGCTGCAGGCAAAGCCAGGCAGGGTGTGAGTGCGTGGAGAGCGAGCAGCTGTGCAGGGAGGGCAGGCCTTTGGAAGGGTGACAAATTTAGCCCTGCTCATTCAGGGATACATTTTCCACTGCTCATGCCAGTCCTACATCCCTGATTAGGCTTTGCATCCATCATGGGTTGCTGGCTGTTTTGTGGGGGGGTCTTTCTTTTTGGCTCAGGACAGGGTGTGTCACCTTTGCTATCTCAGCCTCCTCTGAAGGGGTGAGATGACATGATGGTGAGACTGCTAATAAAAATTTGAGAAAGGCCTGAGAGCTCCTATGAGACAAGGGAAAACCCTGACCTCAGGATTTAGTGATCTGTAAGATGACTTTTTATCCTGGACAACTCCAAAATGCTTTAACAAAACCAATCATAAAACCTGCCTTCCAAAAAAAAAAAACCAGAGACGCAGAACTGAAAATTCTTGCTGCTCCTCCCCAGCATTCATTTCATCACCAGTTAAAGCAACAGAACTTTGACCAAAAAAAAAAAAATTAGTAACATCTCATGAACAAGCAAAAAGCCCCTCACAGAATAACAGAATAGTTTGGATTGGAAGGTACATTGAGGATTGTATTGTTCCAACTGCCTGCCATGGACAGGGACATCTTCCATTAAACCAAATTGATCCAAGCCCTGTCCAACCTGGCCAGAAACACCTCCGCCACACTCAGCATGTGTGGAACACCCTCTGCACTTTACGCCAGAGGAAAATGTCCCCAAAGCCACACACCTGCTCCTGGCTGCCCCCACTCCAGGGCACTTGTTTTTCCTACAGCCATTTTAACTGGGAATTTTTACGAGATCACATAGCTTGCCTGAATTCCCACTTTTCCTAGGCAGAGCAGGGAATAAACCACAGCCAAATGCCTTCAATCACTACAGATCCTCCAGCCTGGCACCCCAAGGAAGCTGGGACAAGCAGCTCCACAAAACCTTGAGCTGCTCCTGCAAGAAATTCCAGCAGGCTTTGGAGGAAGGCAGAAAAAGCCCCTCCCAGCAAGAGCAATTAAGGGGCTGGCTGATGTCCCCTGCTTGGCTCCAGATGTCCCTTAAGTATTTTTTATCACCACGAGTGGCTGCAGACATTTTTACAAGCCATAAATGTGAAAGCCTTTTCTGTCTCCTAGCGATAAAGATATCCTGTGGCAATGATAAGCTAATTAGGTGTTGTGTAAAGAAGATTAACTTTTAATGTGCTGTTCTCTCATGTCACTGGTTGCCCCTTTCTCTCCCCTTTAAAAGAAAGGGTAGATTTACCAAATTAATCATTTCTAAAACACTGGTACCTTGTTATGACCTTTATCTTACTGGGTTTATCTCAAAGCTAAGTGGCTCTCATCTCTGTATTCCCTTCTCATTTTGGAGTCTGCCCTCCCTTTGCTGGAGATTTTCCTATCATCTTCCAGACAGGACGATCACCAAGCCCTGCACACAGTTTGGCACCGTTCCATTTACATAAATAATGCTGCTCACTGCAGTATTTGATCACCAAGCCCCGCACAGTTTGGCACCATTCCATTTACATAAATAATGCTGCTCACTGCAGTATTTTCATTTACTCCTTCTAGCCCCAGTTGCTGTTAATCTTCCTCCACACACATCTCATCTGTCTTTTTTTCCTGCCTGGAAAAAGTCTCATTCATTTTTTTAATCTGGTAGCATGAAAAATTGTTCAGGTGAATTATATCCACCTGCATTTGTCCAAGACATTGTCCACAGGTTGACAAATCCTTCCCAAAACGAGATTTCTTTTAAATTCCTACTACTCCTCTCTGAAACTGAAATGATTTTGTGCCATCCCATCACTGATTCCAGTTCAGAAACACAGGACAGTGCCAAAAATCTTTTCAAAAAAAAAAGTCCCTTTTTCTGCTCCCCACCCAATTCTTCATAATTCTTTACAGGCTACAGTGACTTTTCTAATGCTCCCAGACATATTTTTAAACAAAGTATGCAAGAGTAACCTGAATCTAGTGAGTGTTCAGCCAAGAGTCAAATACTAAAGTTTGCTGTCAGATGAAAATCTGAAGGTTTTAGGCACTGTTACAGCCTGATGAAAATATTCATGTTTTGTTCCATTTTCTACAACCCACTGAGAGATCACATTACCTGCAGGGCCAGACAGTCTGCACTGACCCCTCTAAATGTACTTCACAAACAGCATTAAAAAAATGTGGGGAATAATTATAATTAACTTTGGCAAGCAAAAGAGTTTAAATAACCTTCATCTGAAGTCCATGCTGGTCTGAATCTCCCAGAAAAGAGATTCCTTTCCTTCTGATGCAAAAAAAACCTTTAAATTCCTACAAAACTGCACTGACTTTGGCACACCACACAGCATTTCGTAGTATTTATAACCAATAAAAAGTCACAGGGATACAATATTTAGCTGGCTGTTGCTAAGGTTTTGCCTTCTACTTGGTTTAGCAACTTGATCCTTCCACTATTCTTTTAATCAAGTACTGGATTAATTACAGGATGTCCCCAGCAAATTACTGGGTCTTCCCCAGAAATAGTTGCTGGAAGTGATTAAACAGATTACAAAAATTGAAAGATTGTTCTTCCTCACCACAGAGAGTTAATCCCACAACAGAGACAAATGGGGTACAGTGAAGCAGGTGAGAGAAAACTTAGCATTGATTTTTTTTTTTTTCCCAAATAAATTAAAGACATGACTGTTTTTCTACCTTTGTCCTGGAATGTTCTAACTGCCAAGGGGTCTCAGTGTTCCAGTCAAATCTACCACTTGACAAAGCAGCTGGACACCAACCTCGTTGTATAAATCACTGAATTCTTCAACCACATCTTTCGGGATCCTCTGCCCGCTGTTGGTGAGGTGATAAGCCACCCCATTCTTGGAGTAAAGGCTGATCCGCCCAACGCTCCTCTCGCTGTCAGTGGTCTCTTCCAGCAAACCATTGTCTTCTGCTAGATGATAGACTGGGTTTCCATGTGAACCATGAATCCACGTAGCTCCCAGCTCAAAAGTGGCATGCCCTGCAGGAGAGGAAGCCAAGCAAACTGGTTATGGAAGCCTGTTTTCCTGGAAGCTTCTCACGCTCAGCCGTGAATAAAACGTGCAAAAGCAGAATTGCCCAAGGACAGCTCATGTTTGAACATCCCTTAAGGGAGTTTTCTCTGTTAGACACAATGCCAGCATTCTTCCAGCTGGTCCTTTGGGATACAGGTTTGGGTATTGCCAGAAAGATGGGATGTTGTAATAAAGATCCCTCACAGTGAAACACCTCTGATACTTAAGGAGAAATTCAGCCCTTCTCAGTTCCCAGCTCTCACCAGGGTTGTTGCCAGCAGGGAGATGCAGGAAATGTGGATTGCAACATTGGCCAGAATACTGAACCTTGTACTGTGACTAAAAATGGTTGTTATTTACAAATACACCTCAGATTAACTGCAATAAAACATGCACTTCCATTCCCCAAATGAGTACATAGGCTGTATTTTATTACTTATGCCTTTGGAGGTTTATGTATCAGGTTCTTTAGAAAGAGGCATTGTCAGGCTAAACATCAAAAGCATTTTGTTTTCGTCACCTGTACTCTCTGCTTGAAAAACACAAAGAGTTTGGTCAGCCCCACTCTCCCCTTACAACTATCAGGATTTGCACCAGGGCTTTGTCCCCCCCAAATCCAGCACTGCCAGACTGGGCTGAGAGCACAGGGGGATGCTCAGCAGCTGAAAGGAGATGCTAAAAATAAGCTTGGGTCACGTATCCCCCCATATTCTGACAGATTCTCAGAAGGCCAAAGCTAGTTTAAAGTCTGACAGAGCTGGGCATCTCCCAGCACCCCTGCAGCAGTGTGGGAATGCCTGATTAAGCAGGATAATTAATAGGATCCTGCTTGATGAAGAAAGGATGGTGCAGTTCCCAGCTATCGTTTGCTGTTTAACATGTAAATGTATGCTCAGACAGAGGCACTGCAGCACTGAGCTGTGCTGCAGTCAGGTTTAAAGAGTGAAAGCTCCAAGGAATGCTGCTCCCTGGCTGAGCCCCTGCCTCGGAGGGAAGCTCCACGGATCTCATTTTCCAAGCAGCCCCGTTGTCAGTGAGAGCTGACTGCTCTTCAAAACCTGCACTACAGCAGGAGGCTTGTACACCACAGCACCTGCTGCAGAGAGCAGCACCAACACACAGACCCCAATAGTTCAGGTGACACCGACTCCAACACAGCCCAGAGCACCCAGCCAGGTGGAAATGACTGAACACTGGCACCCAAAGGTACAGAGCTCATCAATACTGCAAGAGGCAGCCCCCTGGTTAATGCAATCCTCCTGCAACTCAGGCCGTGCCAAGCAGCAGCAGGAATGCTGCCTCCTGCTCTAGGGCAGGAGCTTGGTCTCTGCTGCACAGCAATCCTGCTGAGACACCTGATTTTTCCAAGAAAACAATTTGCCAGCAGCTCCTGCTGCTGCCTTAGTGCTTGGTGACAGTGATGATGTGTTCCAAGTTCTCCTGTTGAGCTGTGTGGAACACAATCAAATACCAACAAATTAAAAGCTCATTCTTGCCTGTAATATTCATGCTCACTATCATCACTACTAGATAAGCCAGGTCTTAGCAGGTGTAAGTTAAATGATTAGTTATTGAAAAGTGTAAAATTAAATAAAATTCTTTTAAACAGAGACAGCCAATTTACTTTCAGGGCCTTAAAGGATTTTTCAGTTCAAAATTTATCTGTTTGGAATGAATCATGCCATACAACAACCAAAAAAAAAAAAAAAAAAAAAAAAAAAAAAAAAAACAAATAGGGCCTTAAAGGATTTTTGGTTCAAAATTAATCTATTTGGAATGAATCATGCCATACAATAATCAAAAAAAAAAAAAAAAAAAAGCAAAGAAACACACAGATTGTACATCAAGCCTCCTGGACAGGGATAACTTTGACACTTCCCTTTGCAGCCCTGGCCATTTCTTGGGTAATTGTGAAACAGCTGCAGTGGATACAGATGTTATAGGTCATGTGCAGGAAACACACAGTGCACAAAGACACAAACCCTCTGCCTCACCTGTGCTAGAACCAAGCCTCTGAATATCCAAATTATTCCCCTGGGCTGAGAAGCAACTATCTGTGCACTTGAGGGAAAATACTGTCCCCTACAAGACATGGCTCAGTGAGGTAGAAGGATTCAGATATAACCCTGAGAAGGTGGCACAATGTCACAGAATGGTTTGGGGTTTGGAAGGGACCTTAAAGATCAGCTTGTTCCCACCCCCTGCCATGGGCAGGGACAGCTTCCACTACCCCAGGTTCCTGCAAGCCCCATCCAACCTGGCCTTGGACATTTCCAGGGATCCAGGGGCAGCCACAGCTTCTCTGGGCACCCTGTGCCAGGGCCTCCCCACCCTCACAGGGAGGAATTTCTTCCGAATTAGTAGTTCTGCTGAAATTTAAATCAGATCTTTAGTCAAGTGTGCAGACAGGGGAGAGGCCAGAGCCAGAACATGGATCCACCTTGGCAGAGAACTGCAGCCCACACCCACACAGGGCAACCTTGAGAGCTGGCGGATAAGAAGATAAGAGAAAGATAAGAAAAGACAGTTTGGAGTTTTAAAAAATTAACAAAAGACTAAGACTTTGGATGTCAGCCTCTGCTCTGCAACTAACAGTTACATCTACAAACTCTGAAATTGCCTCCAGACTGAAACATCTGCTCTCCTCTACTGTTAATTAAGAGGTGTCAATGAGGAGGAGGTGGATTCCCAGCAAAGGCAAAGATGCGAGTTACTGGTGAAGGCGGGCAAAGATAAGAGAATCAGCCTCAGTACTAAAAACACCAGAACTATTTCACAGGTGCTCTGGGAGAATGATCTGTGGCTCCCCAAAGATTTCATCTCGTTCACACTTCCCTCCTCTCACAGGCATCGTCCAGGATATTTTTAATACAACGGATTGTGTATAAAGGACACACTTCCCATCCTAACCTCTATGCCAAGTCTCAGCAGAATGTAAAGTGCCCTACTCAAACCCCTAGAGATTAGATTTTTCTGACTGCCTTTCCATTGGTTTCCCTTCTGCAAGTTTACAGGAGGCTGCTGTTTATTCACTGTGGTGAGTTTATCAAGTGAAACACAGTGAGTGATTTAAGCACCTAAGAAATAAAAAGAAAGGGCAGCAAGAGGCCAGAGGTAATCTCCAGAGTGAGGTCAGAAACAGAATTAGTTAATTGAAATCAGGAAAGCAATTCAGGAAAAGCAGAGAGCTTTATGCCTCCTGCAGTGAAGAGACAGGCAATGTCCTTCGGGATACCAAGAAAAGCTTCAGTGACTCCTGTGCTACAAAGGACAATGTTTGTTCCAGGAGTTTTGCCTGTAGATATTTTTAAATTGACCTGGCATTCAAATATTCAGAGTCTGCACCTTTATTACACACTGAGAAAGGAGGCTGCAGAGGTAGGAAAGCTGAAAATCAGGATAAAGGGATACATTGAAGATGTTTTTCCAGCAGTCTGATTCCCAGTGGGTAGTGCCCCACACAGCAAATTAGTTCTAGGGAAATGAATGGGGCTGTTTGTGAAGCAGAACAGCTCAGGGTTTCCCCTTTCCAAGGGCTCTAAGCCCTGAGAAACAACCCATCAACAGCCTGGAGATTTACTGGCTGCTCCTGGGAAAGAGTCAAGCTGGAAAACCTGGGTGGAAACAGTCTGCGTACAGTCACTCAATCACAAACCTGTTACACAGAGCTCTTCATGTGCAAGAGAAAACAATCACCCAAATCCTTTATTTCATGGAAACACAGGTTGGGAGCAGCCCTGGGTCGCAAGTGAAGCACCAGACAGCACAGAATCACTCACCCACCCCAAGAGGTACCCAAGGATTTAAATATTTACTCTCCTGACACAGCCACACCTCAAACCATTTTGATAACACACATAACTCCATTTCCAAGGTTCATTTGACGTCATGCCACACAAACCCCACCAGCAGCCCTCTGTAGGCACTGATGCCATTTCCAGATGCCTCACTGTCCCTTCATGGTCACCAGAAGCTGATGCCTTAAACAGCTGGAACAGAGGCTAACAGAGTTAAGGGGAATATAAGGATATTTATTGAACGGCCACACCCTGGCACTACCAGAGCCACGGTGTTGGCTCTGCCCGGATGGCTCCAAGATGCAAGCAAAAAGAGGGCTTAGTCACAAGAACTCACATTTTTATAAATTTTGGTCCATTAGCATATCGGAGCTAATTGTCCAATTACAGCCCCAGCCCATGAAGTCCCATCCTTCATATTTTTCTCTCTTCAGTCCACGTTGTTTACGCTCTTGGGCCTGAGATTTGGATCTGGCTTTGGGTCTCCCAGCTAGACAAGGCATTGTCGTGTCTCCCTACTCCGTGAAGAGAGCTCACCATCCCCTTACACGAAACCCACACCCACACACCAAAGCAGCCCAAAAATCAGAAGAACAAAGGCAAAAAAAACAGAAAGCTGAAGCCCAAGGCGGCTCACTCTCACCGAGTTGGACGCTCTGCACGCGGCCCCCGATGCGGTCGGTCGCCTCGAGGACTGTTACATCCGTGAATCCGCTTTCCAGGAGCGCCTTGGCTGCCGACAGGCCCGCGAGCCCAGCACCGATCACGACTATTCGAGGCTGTCGCTTTCTCCGTAGGCCACTACTAAGAGGATCATCCGTGCTGTCTGCAGATATTTCACAACTTTGCATGCCGTCCAAGCTCTCTTTCTAAGGAACCTGTAGGAGGAAGCACACAGGTGTGTTCAGGGAGCTCAGACACAGCTTATCCTCTGCAGTTAGAAGGATCAAAAATGAAGAAGTCCGGCGGGAAAAAAAAACTCGGTGAGTTAGACCCAGCCTTCAACATGGGATGCACAGAAAGGATAACTGAGGTCAAGCTGGGATGCAAAACAACTTTTTAGCCTGGAGCACCAAGAACTTCAGAAATCTCCACCCTTTCATGCCATGTAGACTATTTCCAAACAAGTCAAAGGACTTTCAAACGCCCATCTTTTTATATAACCTCCAAAAGTGGTAATTTTGTGGTGAAGACTTTTAGAAGAAAGAGAACCACGTCCCCACTGCTGACAAGCTCCACAACCCAGCAATGAAGCTCCACTTTGCCACTGTGGCAACCACAAAGCCTAAATTTCAGATCCTCTAAGTAGGGGAGGAGGTAAGGAGGATTTAGCTCAAAGCAAGGACACTGGATCTCAAGCCAGCCATTACAGAAACGGGACAGACAGGGAAATGTTTCAAGTGATGTTAAGTCAACAAGGGCCACTCCAAATTTTCACAAAATGCAGTCCCTGGAGCCAACCCTGTCCTGCCACATCAGGCTCAGCCTCAGGCTTAGATGAGAGGTTCAAACCCACACCAGTCCTGACTAGTCCAAATCTACCCGAATCTCCACCTATCAATACATTCAACTGCTCCTCCAAGCGGGACCTTGTTTTCCTTGGCAAACTCCTAGCAGACACCTTTTTACTGCTATCTACCCTTACTTCTCAGGTCCCATCACATCATTTCAGTAGGTGGGACCATGGCCTGAGCCCATGGGTAAGGTTCAGCCCTGAGCAGGGATGACCAGTGCAGGATGTCTTTATTCACAAAAGCCAGTGTGCACTTACCTGGTTCTGGGTGGTTCACACCCGCCCTCAGGAGCACGAAGAACAGGGTGCAGAGATTCCTACCCCTTCAGACCCGAGCTGACATGAGTCCCAACTTGTAAAGGATAAACACACAGCCCAGGATTTATCAGCCCTGGAATCAGCTGATGCCCAGTAATTTGGATAAAGCACAAACACAATTCCTTGCCTCCCTCTCCTCCCTCCCCAAACAGAGATATCCAAGGAGCTCATAGTGTGCTGCCTCTACCTGTTGCCAAGCTGCTGGATATCCATTCTGAGTTCTTCCTCAATTCTCCCAACATCTGGCCACTGACAAAGATTCCTACTCCTCTCTTCCATCACCAGAAGGGTCGACTTAAAACACTGCTGGCCTACTGCAGTATATGATCACAGGAACTAATGAAGCAGTTTCATTTGGAGAGTCCCTTTTTCTCCATGATTTTAGAGAATTTATGTATGTTGACCAAGCAATATCCACTCTCTGTAAGGGAGCTGACACCAGACTACAGTCAGCAGGGATTCAGGCAGTGGTATGAAGAGGAGAGTGGTCCCACTGGAGCTCTGACAACTCTTTTGAAAATGTTTGCTTTCAACTGAAACAGCTTCAGCTCAATCCACCCTTCTGTGGACTCACCTGCAAGAGGGATTTGCACAGTGTGTGCAAACTCTGATTCTGCCACTGCAGCTTGTCCCAGCTGGCCCTGCATCAGCTCCAACTGCCACTGCAGCAACTTCCAACGGCCACAGCCCAACAGAAGGTAGATCACAGAATTCTGATGGATGGGACCTTCCAGCTCATCCCATTCCCACCCCTGCCATGGGCAGGGACAGCTTCCACTCCCCCAGGTTACTCCAAGTCCCATCCAACCTGGCCTTGGACATTTCCAGGGATCCAGGGGCAGGCCACAGCTTCACTGGGCAACCTGTGCCAGGGCCTCCCCACCCTCACAGGGAAGAATTTCATCCTAATGTCCCATCTAAAGCCCTCTCTAGTTTAAAACTGCTCCCTCCTTGTCCTATCACTGTCTGCCTCTGTAAAAAGTCTCTGTCTTTTTTGTAAGCCCCCCTTAGGCCCTGGAAGGGGTTCTGAGCTCACCCTGGAGCCTTCCCTTCTCCAGGGGAACATTCCCAGCTCCCCCAGCCTGGCTCCAGAGCAGAGGGGCTCCAGCCCTTGGAGCATCTCTGTGGCCTCCTCTGGACTCACTCCAGCAGCCCCAGGTCTTTCTGTTGTTGGGGATCCCAGCACTGCAGGTGGGGTCTCACTAGGGCAGAACAAAAGGGGAGAATTGCCTCACACAGACATTCTACAGCCCTCTCCCCTTCTCGTTCTCCTGATAACACTTTGATCCATGTATTTTCATTGCCATAGTAAAGGAACATCTTTTCTGTCATCTATAGTCAGTAGAAATTGAAGGGTTTTAGCTCAGTTCTTTAAGCACAGCTTTCCTCATCCGGGCTTTGGCAAGCTTCTGTGAGTTGTTCACATGAAAGCTGCAAGAAAATGTTTTCCCCCGTTTCAGCATTTTAATACTGGATAATGTGACCTGTCCAGACAGATGAGAAAATAGCAGGGTATTTTGTGTGATTTGGAAACCACCCTTAATTAGCCAACAACCTGTACCATATGATCAGCAGGGAAAGGCAATTAAAATTTACCAAAAGCTTGAGCTTTCCAACCAGGATCCACATTCCACAGTGGAATGAACAGGTGGAAAAATATAGAAAGCCCCCACTACACTTTATTTCTGTATTTCAATTATTCCCTCTGGTAGGCTCATGAGTGAGACAAGCACATAAAACAGAATTCCCAGAATGACCAGGTTGGAAGAGACCTTCAAGATCATCCAGTCCAACCCTGCCCCATCCCCTCAACTAAACCCTGGCACCCAGTGCCACATCCAGGCTTTGTTAAACACACCCAGGGATGGCGACTGCACCACCTCCCCGGGCAGCCATTCCAGAACTTTATCACTCTTTCTGTGAAAAACTTTTTCCTGATATCCAGCCTGTATTTCCCTTGGTACAGCTTGAGATTGTGTCCTCTTTTTCTGTCACCCATTGTGTGCAGTGCTCTCCCTTCAGCACTTGCCAATCCATCAGTCAGGACTCTCGAGCCAGTGGATATTACCAGGTCCTCTGACACAAAGTTTGGCTTTTTACTTCTTCTTGAATGCCAAAAAGGCTTGTTTCTCTTTTATTTTGTTTTTTTTTTTTTCTTTTCTCTTTTAATCACAGGGTAAGAAGTGTGTTGGCTGTTGTACTGTGAATCTCTCTCAGACTGTAATTTTACTTGGTGTCCATCTAAGAGCAAGGGTAGCACTAAATCACAGCTTCACTCAAAGTAAAATTCCCCTGCTTTGTCTTGCTTACAGCATTTTGTGACACAGCCAAGAGGCAGGATATTACCAGGTCCTCTGACACAAAGTTTGGCTTTTTACTTCTTCTTGAATGCTAAAAAGGCTTGTTTCTCTTTTATTTTTTTTTTCTTTTCTCTTTTAATCACAGGGTAAGAAGTGTGTTGGCTGTTGTACTGTGAATCTCTCTCAGACTGTAATTTTACTTGGTGTCCATCTAAGAGCAAGGGTAGCACTAAATCACAGCTTCACTCAAAGTAAAATTCCCCTGCTTTGTCTTGCTTAGAGCATTTTGTGACACAGCCAAGAGGCACTGGTTACCCACAAGAAGAAAATATCCAAATACACATCTTCCTTTTGTCTAAAAGATACAGCTTTGATCCTCTTAGCTCTTTTAAGTGCCTCACTCAGGATATTTTAATCACTTCTACTTCCAGACTTGCCCCCTTCTCTCAGTCTCTATCACCATTCTGTCCCTGACTTCTTAAGAGAAATTACCTTCCATTCATCCCCTCTCACTCCTGTCTATTTCCTTCTATCAAAAAAACCCAAATGAACACCTTTAAAAAAAACCTCTAAAACCAACCCCTCCCAAAAAAAAAAAAAAAAAAAAAAAATCCTGCACCAAAGTTTTCCAGCAGACAAATCTTTGCAAAAACATATTTTCTAAGATGGGCATCATTCTACCAAGCCAGAATCTTGGGTTTCCATTCCTGGCATTTGTACCCACTACAAGTTCAGTGGGGTGACAACTTCTTCTTTTTTTTTTTTTCCCCCCATTATTTTGCCAGCAAAACCTTGCAGGCCACAAGGAAGAAGCCAGAGAATTAAGGCAGTTCACAACTGCCCTCCTTAATACAACAATACTCTGTGACCAGGCAATTCTTCTAGGACCCCTCAGAAAAAGGTCGCTGAGGCTCCAACTATTTAAAAATAGAAAACCAAAATAAACAAAAGCATTTCTCAAGGAAATCTGCTATTCTTAGCTCACCCAACTTCTCCTGTGGCAGTATTGTTGTAGCCCTGGTGACACAAAGACTCGGGCAAGGCAATGCTCTGAAAATGAGGTTTGTGTGCTTGAAGGCTTGGCTGAAGGCTGGTCGGGATTTGGGGGTTTGTTTGGGGTTTTCCACCAGGACCGGTTAATCTTTAAAAAGTGACCTTCCTTCAGACTCTGTATCACACAGCAGGTTGCCATTTACCCATGAGCTGGGACTGCTGGCACTCCCAGAAGAAATTCCCGATTATCCCAGAGGGACCCATCTCAGCCCTGTCACTACTGCAGGTTTCAGCTGGCATTTGCTGCCCACAGCCTTTGAGGGAATGGGGAGGAGGAGAGATCCATCCTGCTGACCCCTGGCATTCCTGTCTCAGGATGGCTGAGCTGGAAGGGAGCTTACAGACAATTTTGAAAGGTCACCTGACCTTTCTGAGTGCTCTTAAATTGTGTTGAATCAACAGCCTTCAGACTAAGAAGTGTAACAGCCAATCTGGAGGGTGAGAAATGCATCATCAACACAAACAAATTCCCTGCTGATTGCACAGACCAGCGGAAAAATTTACCAGAATCACTTTATTCCCTGGAGGTTTTTATCTGATGAGAATTAAGCATCATCCCTAATCAGAAAGCTAAGCAATGATATTGCATGTGTTTGAAAGGAACTTGGATAAAAGCAACAAGAATCAGCTGAAAGACTAAATGGAAGCACAAGAAATAAACACACTACTATTTCCTCATTATTTTAAGTGCAGC